TTCCTGCCCATGGCGGGGTTTGGACTCGATGATCTGTCTAGGTCCCTTCCGACTCTGATTCTATGATTCTATGAAATGCTTTTGTTTGCCTGAGGACAGCCAAGTTCCGTTGAGGTAATACAGTAAGTGCTACTTGGATTGTAGTAATTGGAACAGTCTGAAATATTGTGTACCTCTTTTTTTAAGATTCAATGAAATCTCTAAAATAGGTATAATCTAAAATCGTACTCTACAATCAAGTTGTTATATTAATCTTAATATTTCTGTAGTTGTTTCCAGGGCTGTCTCTAGGTGGGGGCAAATCGGGGCAACTGTCCCAGGCCCTGTGCTCTGGGGGGCCTTGCAGAGCTGGACGGAGCAGCTGCAGTGACTCTGCCCTGCCACCACTGCCCCACTTCCGCCACTGATGATGGCCCCGGCAACTTCTTTGGGTCCTGGGTGCGCAGAATTGGGGCTGGGCCCCACATGAGCTGTTTTGCCTTGGGCCCTGCACCCTGCTCGGGTTGGCTCTGGCTGTTTCAGTGGCCTTTTATTGACTTGGCCTTCATAAACCTTATACAAAATAGAGTGGCCCACTAAGCTTTAAGTGTGCAAGGGATGTAGAAAATGGATAGAAAGGCAAAACAAAACCTGGATTTATGAGATGAGTGAATGGGCAGATAGGAGTCTGAGTGAAAAGATAAAGGTAGTTGCTGAAGATGTGATGTAACATTTATATATATTTGTATTTTATATTTTCTTTTACTTCCTGCCAAATATTCTAACCACAATGCACCACCAGGAAAGCTCATGGCAGGGACTACAGATGCAGAAGAAGCTTCAAAAATTTTGGCTGAGAAAAGGCGTCAGGCTCGCCTGCAGAAAGAACAAGAAGAAAAAGAGAAACAAGAAAGAGAAGAGCGTGAAAGGTATATTTGTTTGATCTTCAAAGTTGTTAGCAGTAATATAGTAAGTTATTAGCACCCAGAAGCAAAAGTTTAGGCCATGGGTCTGTTTATATGAAGTATTAGACAAATGCAGTCAGAAAGACAATGGAAGTTTCTCTTGCTCTATGGGAGTTGTCTGAAACTCAGCATTTCCTGAGATTCAATTCATCTCCTCTGGAACCTAACTTTAGGTCTTCATTTAGCCCATGCAACTCATTGGTATAGTTCACTTTTACCTCTGATGAAATAGAAATGTAGAGCGTATCCGTTTAAGAGCCCTGAGGATCCTCTTCCTTTCCTTACTTTACCTCAGTGGTTCCCAAACTGTAAGTTGCAACCCCAAATGGGGCTGGAATGTCAGCAGATGGGGTGGTGATAAACAGGGATCTGGATTTTCTCCTTGAATGGATAAAATCATGGATTTCTCCTTTAGAGGTGGAAAACTCTTTCAAACTAACAGAGTTCCAGCCTGCAAGGGGCTGCTTGGGGCTGGGGGAAGTGGAGGAGGGTGACTGGAGGCAGGGGACACCACATACATGTGCACAGAGCCATGGAGAGCAGCAACCTGCAGAGGGGAAGGCAGGGGGTGAGGGAGCCCAAGCAATGTGGCAGAAGGGAGCAGGGGCCAAGGCGGTGTGGTGAGGAGGAACATGCCCCTGAGATGTCTGCACCCATAGCAAGATGTGGGGCTGCAGCTGGGCCAGACCAGCTCTGTACAGGAGCCACCTCTAGGGCCCAGCAGGAGGGACCCAGCGAGGGACCAAGGTAAGGCATGGCAGCAGCGTGGAGTTGTGACCCTGCTGCTGCTAGGCAGGCAGGAGGTGCCTCAGCTTTGGTGGCAGTGCAGTGCTCCCTCCCATCCCGGGTTCCCCCCACTCCCTGGGGTGCTCCTGCCATGTCACCCACTGAGGAGGGGACAGGAGGAGGGGGGGTGGGATCCATATTCCTCCCCGGCCAGAGCAGCCACCACCTTCCGCAGGTGACAGCTGGGGCTTGGGTGCTGCAGGGTGGGGGGCAGTGTTTGGGGCCTGCAGGGCCTGGCCTTGGGGCATCTGCAGAGGGTGGGGGACTATGGGTTGGGAGTGAGGGATATCTGGAGTGGGGGGAGGCTGCAGTTTGGGAGTGAGGGACCATGCTGAGGAAATATGATCATAACTGGGGTCATACTCAGGAAAAGTGTGGGAAGCATGGCTTTACCTTCTCAACCCACCTCAAGCCTCTGAGTATGTCTGTACTGCAGACTGCAGTGTCTGGTAAAGATGTTCAGACTAGCCTTAAATGAGCTAGTTGCGGTATCAGAAGCAGTCTAGCTGTAACAGCATGGAGTCACACAGTGTGGGCTAATTTTTGCTTGTTTGAAATTAGATTGAGTACCTTTGTGTGTACCCTGCAGGCTGCAGCATAGAGATACCTTTTGGACTGGAGGACTGAATGGGATTCAATTCAAAGCATTTTCAGTGTTGCTAAGCAACTGGCCAAAGCAGACACTGTTAAGAATCTCAGTGCAGTCCTAGGGCCTTTCTGTCACCTGGATTCCCTCGTGGTTGGGGGAGTGAATAGCAGCAACTGCAGCATCCTCAACTCTTTTTAGCTTGAATGGTATATTCATAGACTGGGCAACCAGCCACAGACTGTAACTACCTTCTAGCTCCTTACCTGTCTGTTATTACTACCTTACCCTTGGCTTCATGGTAAAGTTTCACATGGGAATGAGAGCTCTGAGGACAGCAATGTAGCCCAGGTACCGTAAGAAACTTAGCTGCAAGCAGTTAGGTTCACCCCTAACTCTGTTGAGGACAGCTAATTAGCACTACTTAGTAAGCAAGCTAATTACCACCTATGCATGCTAATTGCTCCATCTCCTGCACTACTTGATGTGGCTACCCTGTTTCTGGTTGGGATTGGAGTATTGTGCAGAGCCACAATGCATGTTTGCTGGTATCCCTACTAGAGACAGTAAGTTTAGTTTCCAGCCTCCTTAAAGTTTTACAGGGGCAGGGTGCCAGACATTTAGATATTTAATATAACCAAGTGCTATATTTAGCTGACTCTTAAATCAGCTTACGTGTGTAAGACTTGAAGCAGTTCCATAGTTAGGGGTTTACTTCAGCGTCAGTTTTCCTGGGGAGCTAATGAATACAGGTCTCTGCTTTCTTGACCCTTAGTGATCTGTACTATTGTTTTAGGAAACATGCTTTCCCGAATTGATCACATGCAGGTAAAGACAGGTGGGGATAAGATCTCAATGGCAGGCCACAACTTGGCTGACTTAAACGCTAAAGAAGTTAATAATACTATGCTTATCTCACACTCTGTCACATGCTAGACATTTAACCTGATCCATTGAAGGGATATACTCAACTCTAAGATGCAGTTCCCCTCCCCATATTCAACAGGGAGAAAAACGTTCCTCATCTTGGATTTGAGTACAAGGCTTGGGGGATGTGGGAGGGTGGCTGCTACAGCTTCTATTCTGGCTCTTACCTATGGTCTGGGGTAAAGTCAGAGCTTCAGTAGTTGCTTGCCACCTCTGCCCCCATGCTGGTGCCCTGCAGCCTCCTCCTGGCACCCTTCCTCCCCTCCCCACCAGCCGAGCTACTTATTATCCATCATGGCTCTGGGCCTATTCCAGTGTGGAGCAAGGTGGACCCCTGCCCTGCACCCCCAAGACCTGTTGTCTCCCTTATTTCCATCTATGCCACTGTGGCCTGATTGGTATCCTCCCCTTGGTGGGGATTTGACTGCATACAAATAGTTGCTTCCCTGGATCAATTAAAACAGTCAGTAAGGCACAGTGGAATTGTCATTATTTGTAACTATTCAAAGCTGGAACATTTTTAAATTCTGCATAAGCTACTTTTGAAGAAAACAAGAAAATTTAGTTCTAATTAATGTTAGTTATGTCACTGTTCAAAAGGGAGTGTTGTTTCTGTGAAATAAAAGATAGAAATAAATCTTAGAAGTTGGTTGTATCCCTAATTAAAAAGTTGCGGCCAGTGCCTCCACTTTCCATAAAACATATGTTATTTGGTGCCAGACCAATTGCTCTACTGTCAATACAGCATAATCCTTGTTAAGGTGCAGCAGGTGCTTCACTTCTAAATGCACTGCTATTTTTGAAGGCTCGAGAGAGAGGAGCAGCAAAGAAAGGCAGAAGAGGAAAGAATTCGTCTAGAGGAAGAAGCTCGTAAGAAGGAAGAGGAAAGAAAACGTGAAGAGGAAGAGACCAGGAGAAAGGCAGAAGAGGAAGCTAGGAAGAAAGCTGAGGAGGAATCCATGCTGAAGGAAAAGCAGGAAAAAGAGATGCAAGCTAAGCTTGAGAAACAGGTATAGAATATGATGCATCTCTCAAGGGCAGGTGTTAAGGAGGCAGATATCTGAAGTACAGTTTTCCTAAAGGCAATGGGCCTGATTTTTCAAAAGTGCCAGGAACCAACAACTGGTCGAAGCACTGGGAGCAATGTGTACTTCATTGTTTTTATTAATCTCAACCTTGTTTATTAAATGTTTAAAAAAACACAAGTATGGAACAATTAATAAAGAGTAGTTTCTATGTTTCTTGAAGCCTATTATTTCTTAGGTTAAATGGAAAGCAGTGATTCATTGCAGTAAAGATAAACTGTAGTCTGGAAAATGCTGTCTCAGGGATGCCCTCAGTGGCTGCCTTTTTAGAATGGGTTCTGTGTAGAGCTGGGTGGAAAAGTTCTGATATAGTCTGCCAACAGTATATATTGCCATATTCTGCCAGCAGTATATATTGGGGAGGTCTCAAAATATTTTATAAAATCTGCTTGTCTGCCTAAAATAAACAATTCTCTTATGACTTAAACATTTTGATTAGAGAGAAGAAGCAGAAGCCAAAGCTCGAGAGGCAGCTGAACACCTACGTTTGGAAAGGGAACAAATCATGCAGCAGATTGAGCAAGAAAGACTGGAGAGAAAGAAGGTAGGTGTTTACTTCCATTTTTAAAGTATTAATACCTGTGGTTTAAATGAGGGTATCCATAAGCTAGCCCTAATATACTAAAAAAACAAAAACAAAACAAAATTCCAGTTTAATTTTCTTTATACTTTGCTAATTTGTAAGCTGTTGCAGACTTGATAATTATTTTTATTTAATCATATTTACTATGGTATCACATAGTGGTCAATTAAGAATAGCATTCTGTTGTTCCAGGCATTATACAACAAAGACCAGGTGGTCTTTACCCCCGAAATGCTTGCAATTTAAGTAGACAAAATGGATAAGGAGGAAAAGAAAGGGATAAGCCTTACAAGCAAAGTAATGGTTAACACTCAACAACAATAGTCGTTTTTTGTTGGTTTTTTTGTTGTTCTGAAGTTTGCTCAGTGTGGTATTTTAGTCGAGGAGATGGATTTTTGCTCTTTAGAAAAAAATTGTATGATATCTGCCGGACAAAAGCAATCTTAGGTGTATACCAATGGTATGTTTTTAGTGGTAGAATCGATGTTTCCCCATTAGATACCCTAGGTGCTGGGGATGGTTGGGGGGTATTGTGCAGGTTATATGCAAGAAAATATGGTATTCAGTTTGTGCTCTGATGAAGAAACAGTCTGAGATTTGAGCACTTAGTGTTCAGTTAATGTTTGGAAACAAGCTTCTCCTTTGGGAGCTGGGCATAACAGCTCACATCTCATAATCACAAATACTGGTTTTATTACTCATCTATTAATCTTCACAGTGAGAGAAATTCAGGTTGCTGGGAATGTGGTGTCAAAGATAGCTCCGTGTTCCTCTTTCCTCCTCCTTTTTCTGTATTCTCCTCATCTCTATTCTCCTTTTTTCCAGTGGAGACAGAGAAGAGGTCATGACATTACGGGAAATCAATCTTTCTTGCTTTCTGCTCATCATTACTAATCTCTTAAGCCTTCCATTCCAGTTAAATAGCATGACTGTCTCCTAACCCTCTGATTTGATTTATGTTGATTTTTAGAGAATTGATGAAATAATGAAAAGAACAAGAAAGAGTGACACACCAGAAGCAAAGGTATCTCTCTCTTTATCCTAGTAAACAAAAAAAAAGATTGTAGGATAGTTCCATGTAGGGTAAATGCTTTGCATGAGATGCTTTTATCTTAAGGCCAAATCTTATTTCACTGTTTTAGGCATCTAAGTCTCTAAGTGCATCCCAAGGCTACCCTACTCTAGTCCCTGGGAAAATATTGATGCATGAGGTGGGTGGGCTCTCCTCTTTCCCTTCATTCCTTTGCTGTTGTTTGGGTACATCTACACCTGCTTTTGCAGTGTGCCTGGCAAGGATGCTCCTGGGCACTCTGTGGCTGCCTGGCAAGGATGCTCCTGGGCACACTGTGGCTACCTAGTATCCTGCCAACAGAGTGAGACATGTCCTCTGTGACTTGGTCTTAAAGCTAGCAGTAGACAATTAAATGGTTTTTTAGAAAATTAGGCAGGGAGGACAAAGTTCGCATATAGATATTTAGATGCTGCCAGGGTGGCATAAGATCTGGCCCTCATGCTTCAGAGAAATTGTAAAATGAAAAGGTGACTGTAGCTGTGGTAATACTCTGACTTTATGGCTGGTGGTGCTGTCATAGGCTGTGGAAGCGGTGAATGGCATAAATGGGCAGAGCCACTCTGGTGGTACTGTGGCATGCTGCTGCCATTAAGCTTGCTCTAGTGCTCTGTACTTCTTTCACTGAAGATGACAGTCAACACATTGATCTCTTTGTGCCCCTCTGTTAATTCTGGGGGGAAGAGTAGGAATAACAACAGAGCTATGGTGCCTGGTTTTTTACTTGTATTAAGATTCAGTTTGGGAAAACTGTCTGCCTCTTTCCTTAAGAGACTCTTACAGTTGTGCTTATTAAAGTGTACCCTCCCACTCTGGATGCTGCATTCCCCATCTGTTTCAGTTAGTTTTGGACCCCTTCCTGGCATTCTTTTTAAACCAGGCTCTTACCCCACTCCTTGAGCTTCTGCTCTTCTCTTTTTGGCTCCATTACTTACCTTGTGCCTCTTCTTCCCAAGGAGGTAGTGGGCTCTTCACAAGGTCCAGTGTCCTGTTGATATACCTGATCTGACAGAATAGGGCAGGGCTGTCTAACTTCTAAGTCCCAAGGGGCCACATGCCCTGGGGGCTGCACCAGCAAGGGCTGCATGCTGTATCTGGTGTGTCCCCCACCCACTGCTGTACTGTACACCCAAATGACACGCCCCTCCACTGCTGTGCTGTGCAGATGTGTGAACGCGATTTCCCCTCTTCCCTTCTTCCCCAGTCCCTGGGCCTGGCTCACCCTCAGCTCCTTCATGAAAGCAGGAAACAGCAATCAAAGGAGAGAAAGGGGAGCCTAGAGATTCTGGCAGGAGCCATGCATGAGCCCCTCATGGGCTGCATGGGACCCACAGGCCACTAGTTGGACAACACTGGCTTAGGGAATATTGCCAGGATAGATGCAGTATAAAGATGAAATCTTGGGTTCTCTAGCTTTTGCTGTTCCTTATGCTTGTATAGAATTGAGTAAAACCTTTCTAAAATAGTTGTGTACATTTACTGGTAGGTTTTTTAAAAGATGATGTTTTGGTTGCATTTGATTCCCTGAACATTACAGCCTTTCACCTAATGCAGCTAATATGTTATTGGCTTATAGAAAGAAGAGCCAAAACTGGAGACACCATCAATGCTGAATGTGGAAAAGCAACTGAAAACCCTTGTTCTCAGTCAAACAGGTGAGAATCACTGAGTTGCTGCGACCCATTTTCATAGCTGATGCTTTACAAAAATTCATAACCTCAAGTAGAATGCTGTAATGTGCTCCATTTTTATCCAGAAAAGAAACTAATATATTTATATGTAAAAATATTAAGAATAAGAACCTGGAGCATTGCCTTTGGCTTGCCATTTAGGTAGAAGCCTGAGACCACTGTTCTAATGACAAAGTCCTGTTCTATATTTTGTCTGAAATTAGCTTTTATGTAAGTTATTCTAGTCTGCATATTTCTGCGTGTTCAAAATTCCTCCTTTCCAGCCAAGCTAGGCAGGCTTTCTTAGCACTTTTCAGATATTATCTCTTCCATTGAATTTGTTTTGATGAAAATAGTATCTGTATTTTAAGTACTGATAAATTTAAAAACTTGCAAATGGTGAAGTACTGTTGAGGTGATGTTATTGCTGTTGTGGCGTAGGAAATATTAAAGAGGCCAGAGTTCTTGTGGGTAATGTCTTTTATTGGACCGACTGCCTGGTTGGGATAAATGTAAATAAGCTTTTGGGTATCACAGTACTTTTCCTTAAGTCTCTGAGAAGCAGACACAGCAGACCTAAGTAGCAGATGGAACAAAAGCTTGTGTAAAATTCCATATGTAAATAAAAACAGGGTATAAGAGAAATCAGGTACCCAACAGACAAGAGATGCAGTAAATCTTGACAATGGAAGAACAAGATTCTTCGGGGGGGGTCCATTAACACTTGCAAAGTGCAGAGATTAGTAAGTTTCAGCTATGGACCATGAAGTCATCTTTGTTAAATCCCTGATTTTTTAGCATCCAATAGTTTAATGATTTTTTGTTCCCAGGCGCAATTTTCAAAGGTGTTTCTTAGGGTTCCTTTGAGCAGAAGAATTGTGAGGTCAAACAGAGTGATTTTTTTTCTGTGGAAAATGTTCTCCTATCTGTGATCTAGTGTCTCTGTCCTTTTTCTTTTTTCAGTGATCATTTATTCTAGTGCATAGTTTTTGACTGCTTTTACCTACATAGTTTCCATGAGGCATTAGTGACCTGGATGAGATATACCTTCTGGGATAGACATGTATCATCTGTGGATTCTGATGTTTTTGTTGTGGAGAGTGTTGATTGTTGTGGCAGTAGAGATAAGTTTGCAAGTCTTGCATTTAGTGTTAAGGCAGAGCTGGGTCCCATTAGGTGCCCCTTGATCAGGAGGGAGTTTTTCTTGTGCTGATGAGTTGGGCAAGATCAGGGGATCGTTTGAAGCCCAGAAGCAGAACAGGGGGATGAGAAAAGGGGGTGGTGGGTAAGTTTGGGACTGTTTCTCTCAAGGTCTGGTTCTTTTCACGTCTAGGCTGTAATTGTTCAGATATCCTTCTTATTGGTTCAAGCATGAGATGGTAGGTAACAACCAAGAGTGTGCAATCAGTGGGGATTTTTCTTGTAGGTTGCTGCAGGGTATTTGTGCGGCTCTTTCAAAGTTCTGGAGTGTAAATGGTAAATGCAAATGGTGAAGTATAATTTGTTTCTAACTTCACCCCCTGGGGCTGCTCAGTGCATGTTGTAAAGGAGTAATGTATTAATTTTCTTTTTAAAATGAAAATACATTGTAGAGGACAATTCTGTAGCAGCAGGTAGATTGAAAAGATACCATGCCAGGTTACTTCCATCTTTGATTTCTATGACTCAAAGCATTTTGTGATTTTTATCTAAAAATCTTGCAAGTGTCACATTTTTCTAATGAGATTCTTTTGTAGAGATCAATGGACTGAAAACCTGCCAGGAAAGTAAAAGCTTAGAAGGTGCTGCTACCGAAACACTTCCTCAAGATGTATTTGCTAATGGACTTAAGTCAGTCCCAGGGCTTATTCACCTGGATGCCATTGATGGGAAATCTAACAGCATGGATGATTCAACAGATGAGGTTCAGTCTATGGATGTGAGGTACACAGCATATAGATCACACAAGTTTTAAACAACTTTAAAACAACAACAACAAAAAATCCCTCCAAATCTGCAACCCCTCCAAACATCTGCAGATTCACTTGTTAATCTACTTTTCTGCAAACTCTCTATCTCTATTTTTGAACCCCTGTGTAACTGTTTGGCATGTATTCCCATTAGTAACAGGGGGCATTTATACACATACATTTTTGTGCCTGGATGCGCCAGAGATCCGGTATGTCAGAGCAGACTTGATTAATTGAGTCTGTTCCTCATGCAAGCTGACACGCACAGTGCTGCATTGCTTGCAGTTGTATAAGCAGCAAAATGTGCATCAGCATGCAGAAAATGTGGTGGTGCACTTTTGAACTAAATCACCTTCTATGTGTGTTAGTTCAAAAGTGTGCCACTGCCATTTTCTGTGCACTGACACACACTTTGCCACTTACACAACTGTAAGCCACGCAGCACCGGGTGCTTTTTGAAGTGCCCAGTGCTGCGCCTCTTACATGTGTAAAAATGCCCAGGTAGTTGCTGTCAAGAAGCAAGTGCAGTTTCAAACTGAAGGATAAAGCACAACTTCATTTCATTTTACAAAAATAAATGAAGCCTTCTCACTGTCCAGACTTGCAAGTGCACACAGATACATCTAGGTCCTCCGAATAGTCTTTAGAGTTCTGACCACGTATTGCTGTTAAATGAGTATTATAGATATTGCTTTAAGTGTCATCAGTTTGTGATTTATACCAACTGTAAAACAATGTCGTACACACCACTGTCCCCTATGAATAATGCTATGGAATAGATTAAAACATTTACGTTCTCAATAATCTTTTTTTTTTTTTTTTAAAGCATTCAGCACAAGTATGTGGCAACAAGTAAATAACATCAGATTTCTTAGTATTATAGGATTTTAGTGATAAGCTTGCGTGCAGCAAGAGAATTGAAGCTGCAAGGTTGTTTGCTATGGGAAGCAAACTGCAAAATTTCTTATTTTGTATTTTAAAAAAATGTCAAGTTTATTATAGCTTTTTAATCGTTGTCTCCTTAAACTCATAATTGTTAAGAAAAATGAAAAATAAAATTGTAGAAATTTTTGTATTCTAATGTTTGGACTACAGAAGGTGTGTGTGTGTAATATGCACACACACAGACATATGCATGCACGTAAGCACACAGACACACATTATAGTAAGTGTGAATATGTCATGTTCATTTCCTGTTAATAGTATAAATCAGTCATATTTTCATTCTTTGTAGGACTGTAACATCCACTTGTGCCCCTGAAGAATTGTCAGTAAAAGCCAAAATACATCTGTTATATGCTGCTACAGTATGATGACATGTGGTGCCAGATGCTTTGCTAATTTAAGTTGGGGCAAATGAACTAAAAACAGCAGAGCACTGTCTAAGCAGCAGATAGTCTGCATTTGCTTTGGTAACTGGTTCTGTAAAGTTAGTTTTTGAAATACAACATGGTTGGTGTTGCATCAAATACATCATTAAAATCTGTTTTGCGTATAATTAATAGAATGTAAGCCATGATCCTTCCTAGGCTTATCCTCAAGCCTGACTTGATACCCTATAAACATCACATACTGACACCAATGTGACTTTGCTTGCTACTCATAATATCAGACGTGTATAAATCTCCTTGGGTACGCATGTGTATTCTGTGAAAAAACATTCAAACAGTAAATACAAAGAACTCAATGGCTCCAGTAGTGGCATGCTGAGCTTTAATCTCTGAGTGATCAATTTGATCAAGCCTGTTGGTGTTGGGTAGACTAATATGAATTATTTATGTTAGTCCAGTTCCTAGAGTACAGATATCTACAACAAACAGCCACCCTCAAGATCAAGGAGAAAGAATAACTTTCTTTCCTGTAGAAGGTGCTGTCATTCTGTGTATGGGGTTGAGCATGATGCAGCTGGTCTGAGAATAGATAATATAGCTCTTCAGGACTGTCAGGCTACACCTTTACACTTGAGTGTGTTTGGGTTTTTTTGTTTTGTTTGTTTGGTTTTTTAAAGTAAATTTTACAAGACTTCTGTTAATTTTTCCCCACTTTGTCTTTCACACAGTCCAGTTTCAAAAGAAGAACTTATATCTATCCCAGAATATTCCCCCATGAATGAACTGATGCCCAGTGTTTCTATGGACCAGAATGGAACAAGTAATGCCAAGGCTCTTGAAGATCTCTTGGATTTCACTGGCCAGGCCACTTACTCCAAGATGTCCAGTGAAACTATTAGCATAGATGATTGTAACAAGAACTTGATTGATGGATTTAACAGTCCAGGACAGGAAAGCACCCTTAACTCCATCTGTTGACAGCCTTGCTACCCTGTGGAACAGAGAAAGGTAAAGCATTGTTACTAACTTCGAAAATATGATAAGCTATTGGGAATAAATAGCACAAAGTCAAAGGAGAATCCAGTCCTGTGAGCAGCATAATATTAAGCATTAGGCTTTCTGATTCTGTTTAACTGGGAACAAAAAGAAAAAAAGCGTAGTGGGAAAATTTGCTGTCTGTTTGTTCTATCTTGTGCTGAATAGTGTACCTCAGTATAAATTCTAAACTCCCAGAATACTCCTGATGTACAATTGTAGAATCCTACTCTATGTGACATCTCCTAGTGTAAAATTCCTCAGTCAAAACTTAAGCAACTTGGTTGCCCCTTTTCTGAACTTTCCTGCACTGTCTCTTTCATGATAAAGTGAACCCTTGGAGCACTAGCTAATTATCTAGGTCCAAAATATGGGCTGCAGGCCACTGGCCCACGGTACCCATCAACTAACTGTACCCCACACAGCCCTTCCTCCCAGGAGGGTGGGAGTGAGGTGCCCATGTATGCACCTCCCCCTCCACCCCGGCCAACATACCCTATTGTGCCTCACTCCCACCCTTGTGGGGCAGAAGGGTCTGGTCTGGCCAGGATGTAGCTTCTGGGTGGGTCTGCAGCTGGCACTGCTGCAGCTGCAGCTGCAGGGGCCCTGCTCAGCTTTCCCAGCACCCCCCTTGCTCCGGACAGCAGGTAGGGAAGTGGCAGGGGTTGGGAGGGAGCTGCATTTGGGCAAGAGTGTGGGGCTGGAGCTTGGGTGGGCAGGGTGTGGGGACCACCCATGCACTCCCCCCATGGTTCGCAGCGCCTGCAGGCAGCGACAGCAGCAGCAGGTGGGGATGCTCAGGGTGGTCATGCCTGGCACTGGTGGTGTCACCCAGCGGTGCAGAGCTCCAGCTAGTGCTGCACATTGCAGTGAGGAGCACAGCCTGGCCAAGCCACCTCTATCACCAGGGCTCCTGCCACGCATATGCAGCTTCCACACTTACGCACTATTGGAGGTAAGCTCTATGTGCTGGAGCCAGCTGCCTTTGCCACCTCCTGTCGTACAGGTCCTGGAACTCCACAGGGAAGCAGGGGCCAGGGCTCCCCTCTGGTGGAGTCTTGGGACCTGTGTGACAGGGGGCAGCAACGGCAGCTGGCTCCAGTGTGTGGAGCTTCCTTTCAGTGGTGCCTGAGCGTGAAAACTGCACATGCGCAGCAGGAGGCCCAGCAATAGAGGCAGCCTGGCTGGGCTGCACTCCTCACCACAATGTGCAGCGCTGGCCAGAGCCACACAACGCCAAGTGGCAGCACCTGCACCAGACACGAGTGCCCCCACCTGCTGCAGCTGCTCCTGCTGCCTATGGGGGCCATGTGCCATGGGAGGAGTGTGGGGGCTCCCCACAAACACATCCTCCCTCACACCCCACAAACACCACACACCTACACCCTGCCCCCATAACCCCCCAACATACGCTATTGTCCCCAACATACACACAGCCACACCCCATCGCAATCCCCCCACAGCCCCTATCCTCCACCATTCACCCCCCCACACCCCACCATACACACACATGGAGCCCCCTACACTCCACTGTACGCCCCCCAACCACACCTCATCACACTATGCAAGACTAAGACTTGATTTTTGAGTTACTATGCAATCACCTCTATACACGCAATGCAAACACAAATCATGAGAAAAATATTTTTATAATAAAATTTAAAATATGTTACAGCGGGTGTTTGATTTCTAGTGTATGATTTGGTTTTTTTCTGGTTTTGAGATGGCCACCCCCCTACCAAAAGGAGTTTTTCTGGGGAGGAAGGGGAGGGACTTCCAGTGGCAAAGGTCAGGGGTTAGGGGCAGAACTTAAGGTCCCAAAATGGCGACCAGGGGGTAGGGCAACTGTTAAGGGGCAGGGCTGCCTACTCACCAAACCTCGTTAAGCAGTCCTCCAGCTGAAATAATTGCCCGCCTCTGACTTACTTGTTGAATATCTTGGAAATGAGCATTTTCTTAGGGTTAAACACAAGCCATTAGAATCCCACATCAAAAATCAAAGTCCTTTTAGTTAATTTCTAATACTTTACACTGCTCTACTCTCTTCCAACTTTCTTCTTTCCTCTCATTTTGGACCCCCTGCTTTGCACTGGGAGACTAGCTAACTGTTCCTTTGTTATAGTTCTTCTAAATCTTGACTTTGCACTTTTTTATATGACTTCCTGTTGTATGTGTATTTTTCCTTGCCATTGTGGGTGAGAAACACAGGGGACTAGATGAGGGCCCAGGAAGACGTGTGGGTGTCAGGGACATCATGAGTAAGGAGGGAGTTTTTTAGCTGTTGGAAAAATGAACTGAGGCCAGAGTAAAATGTTATTGACCCCACATTCTTCATATTAAGAACTGCAGGTAATGACCTTCCTCATCTACTAGCTGGTTCTTTGCCAGGGTAAGCAAAAGCAAGGAAGTTGCCACAAATGGAAAAAAAAATGGCACGTGGTCATAACTAGCTCTGGTTGAGGCTGAGCCTTCAGGGAGAGTTTAGGACTACTGATTTAAGTTCCTTGAGGAACTGTGTCTTCATTTGTTAATTACACAGAAAGTAGTTGCTATTTAATAACATATATAAGATTCTTCTGAAATCGGTGCTAATACCACATATTAGTTTCACTGAGGTACTTGAAAACATGTAGTTAACTTAAGAATATTCAAAAGAAGAACATATCTATCCCAGAATAAAAAAATATAATAAAAATACAGGAATGTTTTCTTGTCATTAAATTATTATATACACTTTCCTATTAGCCACAGTTCTTATTTATACCCTATTTTATTATAATAGCATAGAGAAAATAAAAGTGAATCTAGTTATGTATAATGAAGTGGAAACTGGTGATTATTGTTGCTGTTTATTATTTCTTGCTGCTGTAATATACACAGCATTGTAGAGCCTGGTAACAGTCATTTCCCTGGAAAACCTACAAACTAAGTAAAAGCAAATTTTCTATAGAATAATGACAGTCTTAAAGTACTATGTTGCCACTAATTTTATTGCAGGAGAATACTCTTAAGTTAGCAAAAGTGGAGCCATTTAATTGCATCAAACTATGTTTTTCTTTTTTATTAACAGACAGAGGTAGTAATTTGTGGAGAACATACATCCCTGTGATGCTGCTGGCAGTTAAATATGAGCTTGTCATATGAAAAAGCTTCTGCAGTCCTTGAACACTGGATTCCAAATAATCAGAGCTGAATATAACTGTCTTCCCACGTGGTATGTTGGATAACTGGCCACTCTTGGTAGAAACCAGGAATCCATAAAATGGTTTCAGGGAAGATTCATTGTGCTTTAGAATTTGAGCTTTAGCTGCTAATAAAGCACTTTTTTTTTTAAGTTAAAATTCATCTGAATACTTCACTGTGATTTTACCCTGTGCATTTTATTTGAAAATCATTCTTCTTTTAAGTTTTATCTATCATAGAATTACTTGGATATCTTTTTTTCTTGTACATATATTTGAGGTTTACCCAGTGTGTTAATATTCAATAATGTATTGGACTTCAGCTCCATGCCTATCTTCTTTTTTTTCTTTTTTTTATTAACAAAAAGATAAAAACTTGAAGAATTCATGGCAACTTTTTTGCAGGTGTATAATTACCAAACTATAACTGATGAGGCATGAAAAAATATGTAACTGCTGGAATTAAAGAAGCCTTCTTACTGACTGTGGAGTATTAGAATTACTCCATGCTAATATGCATTATACATGACTATTTTGTCTATTTGGGTTCTTTTAGCCACTTGTAAATCATTGGTTGGTTAAAGACTTAAAGTCTTTAAGTGACTGTATCATTTAGGTGTCAGATAACCCTGGTAATAACATAGGCAAGATGCCTGTTTCAGTCTCCTTAATATGCATTACATAGCAGTAGTTCCAAGCAAGAACATTGTGGGGATCAGATACAATTTAGAGAGACTGATAAATTATTAATACCAGTAGACTTTCATTTATGTGGATAACTCTTTTGTCTTCCTATAGACTCAACAAAAAATATAATATCAGTAAAACAACATACAGATATAACTACAAAAAGTGCAAGGCTGTGGGGCACTTGCACAATTTTCTCACCTGTTTAACACTATTAGCATTCTTAATACTCAGCAAACATCAATATGGGGAAATTCATCTTGAGAACATAAGATATATAGATATTACGTGCCATACCATGTATTTTGGTTAGGGTTTTTTTTTTAGTGAACTATGGTAACTTTTATGCTAGATTCTGTGCTGCTTGGAAGGACTTTTCTGTCCAATTCCTTTAAAAAAAAATCACTTTTTGGAAACTACAAAAAAGTGGAAACTTTTTTTGATATATATATATATATATATATATACACACACACACACATATATATATATATAAGGAAGTTTACTGTGTAGCTTGGTCTCAATTGTAGCCCTGTTTTGTGCTTTTTAAAGCCAGCAACTGTTTAAAAAAATTAAAGTAGCCAATGAAATTGTGTGCAAGTATATAAAGAAAACATGCCTACAACAGTACAGTTCTATTTATGTTGATGTATTTCAGCAAAATATCTTTCTGTTGACTGTGCAGTAAGCTGTAGCATGGTACTGTGTCTTCCAAACTAGTCCTACATATGTTTCCTAAAGAATAAAGAAAAAAAAAGACAAACTAATCATGTTTGTTTTACTGTGATATATTGTGTTTGACAAATGTCACCTGAGATTTATATGGTGTCATTGTATAACTGGTAGAATTCTTCACTTGCATGACATGTATAGCATGTATAAAAGTGAAATACATTTTGATTCGAGTCTGACTTGTTTCCTAGCATTTTTTTTCGAATAATCCTGGCAAAAATTTGGATCAAAAAAAGTCTGTGTTTTTTCTCAGAAAGATGTCATGGTGAATGACATGAATGAGCCCTTAGTTTCTCCAAATCTTTTGAGTTTTACATTTGTTTTCTTACTGTTGTTTTGATTTGCTTCATAAAGGCTACGTGATAAATAGATGAATGCTAGACTAGTAAGAAAAGCTATAAGAAAAGCAAATGGCCTTTAGAAAATAGTGTTCTCTCAGGTACTTGACCTGTGAATGTATCCATATTACAAAGCAACATTCAAGACAAATGTTGAACTGCTCATTAGGCTAAACACGCATACCTCTTTTAGGAAAGAGACCAGTTTGAGTAACAGAATCACTAACACTTCTCTTCAGCTGTTAGAGAAGAGTTGTTTGCAAATGTTTTGTTTTAAAAAAAAAGAAAACTAATTTCTATTAAAAATGCAAAATGAGCAAGTCTGATGCATTTTAGAGTGTATTACACCTGCCATTCATGATAACATTCATCTCATATTCATTTGAGCAGTGAATTTTATTTGAATAAGACAGGAATTCTGGGGCTTTCAAATCTATCTGATAAGTTATCTTTCAAGTCCTGTGTATATATCTGTAGAATTAAGCCATTATTTGGAAGTCAAGTTTTGTGGGGAGAAAGAGCAGGGGTGGGGAAAATAAGGAAATGGTCCACAAGCTGATTTTTCTTACAAAATGTCAACAGAACCAGGAGTCTTGGAGAACCACTGAAATAGGACTCTGTTGTTGTTTCTGCTGAAAGTCAAAAGTGAATTGGTATGGTGAAACTGCAGAAAATTTTTAACAGCTGGGCTAGCATATAATATGGGCCAATAATACATAATGCAATGAAATATGAAATACAATACAGTGAAGTGAAATAGCCTCAACCTTGTACGTAACAATATGTATCCTGTAGGATTTCATTAATAGGCAAAAAATAATGGTTGTCTCTCACCATTTCCCTCCCTCAATTCCCTCTGAAGACCTGCCAGATTGAATGGTCTTTCTTGGAGGTTTTGTGTCTTTTTCTTTTTAAATTGCAAACACATAACATAATGAGGGTGGGAACGCTATGTCCGCTCTACTTCCTTGAATCTGCCAGGGACTCTGTTAGGAAGCCTAGAGTCCTGCCCGATTCTCACTTGCTGAGTGGAGGAAAGAAAGCTGAGAGGAAGGGGCTGAAAAATCTACATAAGATACAGTATGTCTGTTCTGCCATCAGGAGGTGCAACTGTAGCACTGGTAGGTATATCTGTGTTGGTTTTAATCTAGCTAGCACAAGCAACAGTGAAACTGGCAGCACAGATTAGAGCACGGGTAGGGCAAGACCATCAGATACCTGGCTACATCATCAGGTTGCTGTTTGGTACTAACATTTGCGCTCCACATTTTTCTTGCTATTGTTATCCATATTAGCTAAAATTAAAGTCATCTCAAGCCTGGCTACCTGACAGACCTCTTGGTTATGTAGTAGAAGCACCTGGAGCGGGATTTCCCCTTCCCATACAGTGCCATGCTCTGGACCAAAGTCCAAGCAGCCTATTGGGTTACAGAACCTCCTTCTGACCCTTTGTAGTCCCACCAAATTCATTGTAGCCTTTCAAAATTGTGCCAATTGTAAGTAAAGAAACTGAAGGGAAGAAAACCCATATAGCAGCCTGCCGATTTTGCCGTGGGAAAATCTCTTTCACACCTCCAAAGTGAAAGTCAGCCTAGCTCTCAGCATTGCCAAAGATCCAACCACTAAATGAAAATTGGGAATGAATTTGTTAGAATACAATCAGGTGGAAAAGCACCTAGGGTTATAGAATAAGCCAGCTGAATATAGATCAAAATCTTGGGACAGGCTCAGAAAAGACAGTCAAATTGGAAAGTGTCCAGCAGAAAGCAGCAAAAATGATTAGAGGTTTAGAAAAGTTGACTTAAAAGGAAGGGTTGGGAAAACAGGTCATTTAGTCTGGAGTAGAGAAGAATGAGGGAAGGATGATAAATCTTCAAATATATGAAGAGTGGTTAAAGAGGATGACAACTGAATTTTCTCTGTTGCTGCAGGAATCAAGACAAAAAGTAATTGTCCTAAATCTCAACAAAGGACATTTAGGTTGGATATTAGGAAGCTCTTTCTAACTATAGTTAAGCATTCAAACAGGTTACACTAGGTTGTGATATCTCCATCTGTGGAAGTTTTTGAGAGAAGGCTAGACAAGCAATTGGATGAGATGGTTTACAGATAATGATGATTCTGCCTTGAGCAGGGGGTCAGACTAGATGAACTCCTGAGGTCCCTTCCAGCCTTACTTTTCTATGATTCAGAGTGGATCTGAAATTGGCAGCCCACAACAGCTACCTTGCCTCATTAGTGAAAACTAGCAGCACCCTTCTCTCACCAACATTTCCACATAGGAGCCGGTGATGGGGTGGGCAGAACAGAGTTTGAAACGGGCATATTTACCATGACACACCTTTTTAAACTTCCACTGGGCAAGATAAGGGGACTGAGAAAGAGGCATTCTGTTTTCACATGTTCAGGAGCAGCCAAAAGTAGCACTGTCCTCAAGGGCAGGCAGAAGTGCCACCCTTGATGCTCCTTGTTGAGATCTTCCCTCTGCTACCTCCACAAGGATATGTCCACTTTTTCCAGTCCTATTAAAGCCAGACTGTGATTAGTGAGGTGAGCATTTGGCTGGACAGGGCAGAAGATGAGAAGAGTTCTGTTTTCTGTGCCTTCAGTTATGCAATTACATGGAATGGCATTCCGCTTTCTTGATTAATGTGTTCAGCTCCCAATAATATATTTTTAATAAATTTAATCCACAATAGATTTCTTGTTAGTTAAACCAGGTTGTATTAAAAATAATGGGGAGGGTGAGGTAGCAAAGAAGCACTTGTTGGTGAATGAAGTGTATCTTTATCAGCTCATCCTGTGGTCAGATTCTTAAGAAATTTATGCTTAATGTCAGAGGTGTAACAAGGCAGCTCCATGCACTGGGCTAAATCTATTTTTTTCCCCCCTGCTTCCCCACTCCCTCGTGAGGAAGTTTTGTAAATAGTAGTTGTACCATTGGTTCCTAAACACCTTTCCTTCTGGTACTTTATCTGCAGAAGTGGTGCTGAGATAGAAGGCATCAAACTCTTAAGTGGCAACACACTTTCAAAGAAGACTTCTCCATTTGCAATTTTCCAGTAGAATCTGGATTCTTCATGGGGTTAGGTTCCTAGGCTCCTGTGAAGGATAAGGGTTTGCAAACTAGCTGGGGGCATATATAGCTGCAGCAAATAGCTGTGTGGGACCACTGATATGCTCTAGCTGAGTGAAGAAATGACACTTTTTCAGGTAAAAGCCAGGCAATCTTATGAGCATCTTATTCTTAATTTGCCAGCCCATTGCAAAGTAAGCAGTTTGCAAGCCAACCTGATATGAAAAAATCCAGGTTCTAATGTTCTCAGTTTTTTTGGACCACTGTTCATATGTTAAAACAATTGCATTGGTGCTCGCTGTTGGTTTTCCCATTTAATTTGTATGCA